TTGGTAATTTAGATTTTTTTCTCAGAAAACTTGATTTTTTTGAAGTTTCCGTAGGTTTCAGCATAGACGTAGGTAGATAGAGCACTGTTTTGAAAAGTATCTGTTTCGATCATCAATTAATAGTTTGTTGGTCGAAAAATACCAAATCTTATCGTGTTTTCAATACTCTTTTCAAATCTCAGTTTTTGAAACTCTTACCATTGACTTGCCATGACCAAAAAAATATTATATCTTCGTTTCACAATCGACACGTAATTAACCATTGATCTTAACCAACTAAGAAACGCGCGCCGAGATTTTTGCGAAAAAACTAGACATTTCCACGCAAAATCCAAAAAATTACCTATTTTCTTTCTGTTCTTTTACCATCACAAACCATGAAAGTTTAACACCTCTATTCTCTATCTTAATACATCGTAGGCTCTATACCCAATGTTAATACATAGCGAGGCTGACCCAAAATCTATTACGTATCTTAATACATATGGTCAGCCACGCACCCCCCCCCCCTCCACCTTAGCTCCAACATCTACTATTCATTTTTTTCAATGATCATTATGTTCAATCATTATATATCAAGCCATAAAAAATCCGACTGCCTTCTAAGTTCTATAGAGTAGTGTTCGCTATAAAATATGATTATACTTGCAACAAAAAACAAAAAAATTCAAAAACTCGTTTCTTAGACGCTATGTAAGACTTATGTCGGGCGTTGTTTGTCCAAAATTGGCTAAATTGGCAATTCTTTGACCCCATAAATTTAAAAAAATATTAATCACTGGTGATATACCTCCTGAACTTTGTGCTCAGGACACAAACAGTTTTGTATATTGCATGATGAAAAAAAGTTCCGTCGGAAATTGCTGGTCAAAAAGACGAAATTTGTTTGTTGAAAAGAAAACCACTGCAGTCACAAATATTCAATCGATTTCTTCGACAGCCGGAACGAAAAACCAATTCAATATAAACACACGCATCTGATTGGCCAGAAGTTCTTTGCGTTGCTAAAAGTTTTGGGGGCGTAGCAGTTATCATGTGTGCCTTTTAGCATGCGTAACAGCTGCTACTGGGTGTGCGCTCAAACCAAAAACAAATTAGCTAAGAAGTTAATTTACATTTTGACAACTCCTTCTGATTTTTTTAGGTAGGGGAGTTGAAATTTCACTTTGGCCTTATCAAGAATTTGGCGAAGTGTAAGCTGTTCAAAATGGCAAATTTAAGTAAACAAAACCTGAAATAGCAAATCTATAACCTTCACTCTTTTACATGGGCATACTTATCGACACACATGTTAAAAGACTGGTCCTGGGAAGTTTCAACTAAACAAGTACTGGATAATAGGAAAAGAGCATTTATTTTTAGCTAGGTTGAACACGTAACTGATTAAGATTAGCAGTCAAATATTTTATCTTCAAATTATTTTTTTCTTCTAAATTGTCAATTAATAAGTACTTTCATCCAAAACGTAAAAAATTTAACCTGTTAACCAAATTATTAAAGTATCTGTTTTGAAAAGTATCTGTTTCGATCATCAATTAATAGTTTGTTGGTCGAAAAATACCAAATCTTATCGTGTTTTCAATACTCTTTTCAAATCTCAGTTTTTGAAACTCTTACCATTGACTTGCCATGACCAAAAAAATATTATATCTTCGTTTCACAATCGACACGTAATTAACCATTGATCTTAACCAACTAAGTAACGCGCGCCGAGATTTTTGCGAAAAAACTAGACATTTCCACGCAAAATCCAAAAAAGTACCTATTTTCTTTCTGTTCTTTCACCATCACAAACCATGAAAGTTTAACACCTCTATTCTGTATCTTAATACATCGAAGGCTCTATACCCAATGTTAATACATAGCGAGGCTGACCCGAAATCTATTACGTATCTTAATACATAGGGTCAGCCACGCACCCCCCCCCCCCCACCTTAGCTCCAACATCTACTATTCATTTTTTTCAATGATCATTATGTTCAATCATTATATATCAAGCCATAAAAAATCCGACTTCCTTCTAAGTTCTATAGAGTAGTGTTTGCTATAAAATATGATTATACTTGCAACAAAAAACAAAAAAGTTCAAAAACTCGTTTCTTAGACGCTATGTAAGACTTATGTCGGGCGTTGTTTGTTCAAAATTGGCTAAATTGGCAATTCTTTGACCCCATAAATTTAAAAAAATAATAATAACTGGTGATATACCTCCTGAACTTTGTGCTCAGGACACAAATAGTTTTGTATATTGCATGATGAAAAAAAGTTCCGTCGGAAATTGCTGGTCAAAAAGACGAAATTTGTCTGTTGAAAAGAAAACCACTGCAGTCACAAATATTCAATCGATTACTTCGACAGTCGGAACGAAAAACCAATTCAATATAAAAACACGCATCTGATTGGCCAGAAGTTCTTTGCGTTGCTAAAAGTTTTGGGGGCGTAGCAGTTATCATGTGTGCCTTTTAGCATGCGTAACTGCTTTAACTGGGTGTGCGCTCAAACCAAAAACAAATTAGCTAAGAAGTTAATATAAATTTTGACAACTCCTTCTGATTTTTTTTAGGTAGGGGAGTTGAAATTTCACTTTGGCCTTATCAAGAATTTGGCGAAGTGTAAGCTGTTCAAAATGGCAAATTTAAGTAAACAAAACCTGAAATAGCAAATCTATAACCTTCACTCTTTTACATGGGCATACTTATCGACACACATGTTAAGAGACTGGTCCTGGGAAGTTTCAACTAAACAAGTACTGGATAATAGGAAAAGATCATTCATTTTTAGCTAGGTTGAACACGTAACTGATTAAGATTAGCAGTCAAATAGTTTATCTTCAAATTATTTTTTTCTTCTAAATTGTCAATTAATAAGTACTTTCGTCCAAAACGTAAAAAATTTAACCTGTTAACCAAATTATCAAAGTATCTGTTTTGAAAAGTATCTGTTTTGATCATCAATTAATAGTTTGTTGGTCGAAAAATACCAAATCTTATCGTGTTTTCAATACTCTTTTCAAATCTCAGTTTTTGAAACTCTTACCATTGACTTGCCATGACCAAAAAAATATTATATCTTCGTTTCACAATCGACACGTAATTAACCATTGATCTTAACCAACTAAGTAACGCGCGCCGAGATTTTTGCGAAAAAACTAGACATTTCCACGCAAAATCCAAAAAAGTACCTATTTTCTTTCTGTTCTTTTACCATCACAAACCATGAAAGTTTAACACCTCTATTCTGTATCTTAATACATCGTAGGCTCTATACCCAATGTTAATACATAGCGAGGCTGACCCGAAATCTATTACGTATCTTAATACATAGGGTCAGCCACGCACCCCCCCCCCCCCCCCCTCCCCCTCCACCTTAGCTCCAACATCTACTATTCATTTTTTTCAATGATCATTATGTTCAATCATTATATATCAAGCCATAAAAAATCCGACTTCCTTCTAAGTTCTATAGAGTAGTGTTTGCTATAAAATATGATTATACTTGCAACAAAAAACAAAAAAATTCAAAAACTCGTTTCTTAGACGCTATGTAAGACTTATGTCGGGCGTTGTTTGTTCAAAATTGGCTAAATTGGCAATTCTTTGACCCCATAAATTTAAAAAAATAATAATAACTGGTGATATACCTCCTGAACTTTGTGCTCAGGACACAAATAGTTTTGTATATTGCATGATGAAAAAAAGTTCCGTCGGAAATTGCTGGTCAAAAAGACGAAATTTGTCTGTTGAAAAGAAAACCACTGCAGTCACAAATATTCAATCGATTTCTTCGACAGCCGGAACGAAAAACCAATTCAATATAAACACACGCATCTGATTGGCCAGAAGTTCTTTGCGTTGCTAAAAGTTTTGGGGGCGTAGCAGTTATCATGTGTGCCTTTTAGCATGCGTAACTGCTTTAACTGGGTGTGCGCTCAAACCAAAAACAAATTAGCTAAGAAGTTAATTTAAATTTTGACAACTCCTTCTGATTTTTTTTAGGTAGGGGAGTTGAAATTTCACTTTGGCCTTATCAAGAATTTGGCGAAGTGTAAGCTGTTCAAAATGGCAAATTTAAGTAAACAAAACCTGAAATAGCAAATCTATAACCTTCACTCTTTTACATGGGCATACTTATCGACACACATGTTAAGAGACTGGTCCTGGGAAGTTTCAACTAAACAAGTACTGGATAATAGGAAAAGATCATTCATTTTTAGCTAGGTTGAACACGTAACTGATTAAGATTAGCAGTCAAATAGTTTATCTTCAAATTATTTTTTCTTCTAAATTGTCAATTAATAAGTACTTTCGTCCAAAACGTAAAAGATTTAACCTGTTAACCAAACTATCACGGTCTTCTACGGGTGGTACACGACACCCCATTTCTACTTCCCCATATGCTGACACAAAAACATTTTTCCTCCTCCCAAAAATACACCTGAAGCTTGCCTTTTAAACGCGTTCCCACCATGAGTTCACCCGTAATGCGACAACACTCGCAAGAAAAGGCAACTCGCATTAAATGTCAACTTGCATTGTACTCACCGCCGCAGTTTTGCGAGCTTGCCAACAGTGGGTAGGACTTTATACGAAATTTAGAACCGGCGACATTAAAACCGAGAATATAACGTTTCCTATTAGCTTCAAAACTTGCCAGTTGTCGCTTTCCTTAAACTTTGCGAGTTGTCTTTTGTTGCGAGTTGTCTTTTGTTGCGAGTTGTCTTTTGCTGCGAGTTGTCGCGGTACCGTGTTCACCACTACACAGAGGTTACCTTTTGCATGCGACGATGGGGGTCGGGCATGTTTGTGTGTGTAAAGATAAAGTGGGCTGTGAAAGTACGTGCGAATAAGTGAGTGCTGGGGAGAGATTAGGTCTGCAAAAGGTGTTGGAATATATCAAGGGTAGGGCAGATTTTTAACATTTAACTTGTAGATAACTTTAAGAATTTTTTATTTTATGTCAATTTACTAGGCTAGAAATTATTCAGTCAAACCGTTATTTTATCAGCTCTGTTTTACCCTGTTTTGTTTTTCTGCCTTGGTTTGTTTTTTTCTTTGGCTTTTTTTGTTGCCAGATGACCCTGAGCCAGACCCTTCATTTTTCGGCTTTTTTTCTTTTTTGGGTGTTACTTCCTTCTCGCAGATCCAAGCGTTATCCTTGCACATGATGTTGTGTTTGAACCAGTGAAAAGTAAGCTCCTGGCCGGGATCAAAGAAATCGAAATGCACACTGTCAATGTGGGGAATTCCAATGGGTTGCAACTGCCTCCCGGCTATCGTGTATGGAGCACCAGGTATAACACTATCGCCGTGGCTTCGTCTTAAGTTTCCCGGCCCAAATCCGACCTTGACAATTATGTTTTCACATGACGACAGTGGAGATTTTATAGCCTGAAACGTTAATTTTTCGCATGGGACTACTTTATGAATTCAAAAGTATATTGAGTGTACCATAATAAAGTTGAGTGGTTTGTTTTCGTCGTCATAATCTATCAGTTTGGCCATATACTGTTCAGGATCCCACCTCTTGTTGTGCAGTCCATGCACGAGATATTTCATCGTTTGAGATACACAACAGTAACCTAAATTCAAATATACCAGGTAGAGTTGATCCACCTATGCAGCGACCAAAGGTGTCGACTCGTTATCTTTCTCCACATTACACGCCAAAAAATGACCCTACGTTAACATGCTCTACTTTGAGATATTGCTTTGCTTAAGATTTTGTTGAAAAGTAGAAAAATAGTTTTTATCGATTTGCCGGCTCATGTATTATGTATCGATTCCCGTCAACCGTTATGACTTGGATCAAAGAGCGATCATTTGATCGATCTTTTTAGTCGATATATTAATCAGCATCCAACTGGGCGCTAGCTGAGGATTCTGCACTCATAGTTAAATTCATGATTTTAAAGACCATAGAGCTCTTTTCTAATTAAATAAGGGGCGGAGCTGCAGCTATGAGCACTCTAAAATTTACTCATGCTTTGCAAGGTGTATAGTTTTTGAATGCGTTTTTCGAGGGAGCAGAAAAGTTTGCGCCTGTTTATAATTTAGTTTGGTTTTCTTTAGCAAAAAAGTCGAGAACTCATCTGGATTCGCACCTGGATTCTCAAAATCTACCATGTTGATTCTATGCCACTGGTCCTGAATGAGGATTCCGAACCAGGCTCTTACAGCCTGTATGTCATAGGCTGGCTGTGATAGGTTTTCCGTGTCGTTCAAGTAGGGATTCTGGGTCCTGTACAGATCCAGACAGTAGTAGTGGCTAAAAAATTCTAAAGTTTGAAAAAAAAAACGTCGGAGGAAACGAGTTGAAGTGTCCTATTTGGACTTTGACAACGTGAAAAAAGTATGAATGCCATTCTTCGGCAAGTTTAACTTGAATTTTTCAACCAGCGCAGCTCTTTTGAAAAATACGACAAAACCAAACAAGACTACTCGTATCAGGGCTGAAGCCCTGAATGTTCCGACTACATTTTAAGGTCTATGTAGCAAGGTGCATTGATGAATTTTTCGAAAATAAAGAAAAAAAACTATTTAAAAAAAAACATTTTTTTTTGAAAATTATCATCATCCCACACGCCATATTAAGTACTACGTGATACCATTTGCTTCTAATAACGTATCAACTAAGATAAATAATTTGCTCCAACCAATTTGGAACGAATTATAAGATGGAATAAATATCTTAATTGTACCAAGTTGGCAATCTGAAAACCCCATAAGTTTACAAAAATTAACCACAAGTTAAATATCTTTTCAACTTTGAGTTCAAGAGAACAATATGACTGATTTTAAAAAAGAATCCATTAAAAATTCAAAGTTTGTTTGGAGTATCATATTCACTAAATTCTATTTGAAAACTGAACTAATATTAAAGTTGAATAAATAGTAAAGTTAATAAGTTGTTGTGGGGTTAATAAAAATGTTAAGCAACTATAGTCTTTCCATGGTTTACAAAGAGTGAGTTAGATTTAGCACCGCAAAACTGATGAACATAAAATACACGATTGGCAGATAGCTATTTCATAGCGATCAAACGATCAACATCAAGTGATTATAGGACAATTCGATTCAACCTCATGTCCTTAAACACTTGGTGGTCAACACAATAGCACCCCATTTACTCTCTAGGAAATTTTCCTAGAAGATATGAATTTCATTTCACTATAAACAAAGAGTTTAAGAGTTATAAAAGTTCAACCTTCTTTTCATCTAATAGTTTACTTCCCCAGAACTTGGTCTGGTTTATAAACCGCAAACATAGATGTTTTCAACTTCCACCTTTTCACCTTGGCGACGGTGACAGCGTGTTCCCTGACGAAGGCGTAATATACCCAGGCAACACTGGAGTTTTCTGAAGCTTCTCCTTGCCTGATTTTCTCTTCCACACACTTACTGAGTGTTTTAGCGGACTGCCGAAGAACTGAGTTTGCCGCTTACTTCTGCTTGATGACCTGTTCGAACTATTTAGTACTTCTGAGTCTTTGTCTCCGTCTCCACTCCTTTTGCCTCGTTTCTTCTCTTGTCTAGATAGTCAAGAATTGGTCTGAGTTTCCATTTTGTCTGAGGTTTGAATTTCTCCAGACTTCTCCCCCTGCTTCTGTTCCGCCACTACTGAAGAAGTTACCAGGCCTGTTGCTTTCGCCCCTTCATTTTGCAGTGAAAACCTTGTCTTCTCCTCTATCGGAACCGACATAATCGGGCAGTTTTCTGCATTGCTTTGATTCATATCTTGCACTTTCTCCAATGTGGGTACTGACGATATCGGACAGCTTTGCGCTACACTCTTGCTTGTTTCCTGCTCATTCTTTGCTACAATCGGCACTGATGATATCGGGCATTTGTTTGTCGTCTGAATTTCTGGCTCATTTACTCTCGGTACTGCCTGTATTTCATGTTCCGAGGACCTACTCGAAGATAGAGTTAAGTCTTTGATTCCGTGTTTGGAAAGTTTTGTAGTATATTTGGCAAGGCTGCATATCTGGCTGGTAAAGTTGGTCGATTCTTCTAGGATATCTTCGTCAATGATGTATACAGCTTCGTTGTGTTTGCCTTTAGTTTATCTAATTTCGTAAAAGGTCCCTCCCTATTCTCTGATTCTGAATCTTCTGTCAACGAAGACACCGGAGATATGTCTGGACTCGGCAGAATGTGTGCTGGTGGTCTGTTCGGTTTGCTCCCTCGGCGTGCTTGCGGCTGGTGTCTTTGAATCTAAATCTGAACAATGTATTGATTTGAATTTCGGTTTAAATGATATATCGTTCTTTCCCATTTTTTTTTCTTTTGGCTGTGTTATAAGTGTTGTTAGTAACTCAAAAGGTTTTTCCAATTAAAGCTTTTGAATAATGGCCGGCCTGGTTTCCTATCCAAAATCCTCCGATAAATAACAGCATTCTCCAGATAATGCACTAGATCGAATTCAAGATTACTGGTTTTTGGCCTCTGAACTGGCGTCTCCTGTTGCACTCTAATTTTTAGTGTGACTGGATTGAGATCGCTCCTGAGACTTGCTGGGGGAAGAGGGTTCCTATCTGTCAGCTTCATCAGCGTTTCTGATCCCTCCTTTTGTGTCAGATGCCTTTTATGCTGTTTCCATTCGTTTGCCGCCTTTGCAAGATTCTTTAGGGCACTGATGCTATCTGGCTTTTCCGCTGACTACTTCAGTTTCAGTGAAAAACCTCTACTTGCCATTGCCTTCTTCACCACCTTCAATCTGGTCCTTGAATTGGCTGATTCTCGCATTTCTTCTGCCTTCAGCATGGATTTCTCAAGCTTTTGTTGCTCTTGATTTAAAGAATGGATTTGTTTATCTCTAAAATTAGACCAAAATGTATTTGGTTTCAGGCCATAATGAAGTTCAAGCGGAAACTTCTTTAGAAAACTATGACGTGTTATATGAAAATCTTCTAATAATGATTTGACTGCTGATTGAATATCCTCAAAGTTTGGATTAACTGAGCCGAGAAACCAATTTCTTTTTCAGTGTCTAAATACACCTTTCCACCAATCCGCAACGGCGGTGATCGGCTACTCGGCAGAATGTTTGGTTATCCACTTAGATTTGCAAACTATTGGAAACGCAATTTTTGAACTCAGTATACTAGTTTGTTCTTAAGTTCTGCGGTATGGGATGTTGGTGTATATAATTATTTAGAAATTTTTGCTGCCCAAATTTTTAGTAGCCATGGCAGATGGATATTGCGAAAACCGGTCAATTGCAATTAGAAAGAAATCTTTTTCCCTTTTGAATCAATCATGGGCTCTGCGAAGTCCATTTGAAGCTCTTCGTTTGGTCTGGAGAGATCTGACAGAGGTTCCTAAGAGTTGAATGATTGGGATGTTTTAAGGTTCTTACCATACCCGGAGCCTGATATGCAAGGTTGGCATACGTCTGCGATTTCTCCGTGCATATTTGGCCACCAGAGAATTTGTGTAGCATCCACCACGGTTTCCTGACCTGGGTGTATCCTTTGCAGTCGAGAAAATAACAGCCTTCCACAGAGAAGTAGAAATCACCACCCGGTTGTCAATGATGACACAGTCGTTGATCACTGATGCATCATCCAAGAAATTGGCCATGTAGCTGCCCAGTCGTGGGAACACCTCTGTGTCGTTTGATAGAATATGCTTCCTTACTTGTACTAACTGACTGTCTTCAGTTGTCAACGCCCCCTGTAGATCCGCAACTAGAATGTTTTGGAGTCCTGTTGTGAAAGACTTCTTGCCTGGCTCGAAATCTTGTTGACTCTCACCGAAGACGACACCCGATTCGCCCTGAAGTTCGAAAGTGTTCTGGCATAGTTTGTCTTTTTTCTGTTGACTTGTTGCACTCTCTTTCGTTTCCTGTTTGTATTGAGAGTTTCTACTGGCTGTCTAGAATCAGCCCTACTTCTTGCTTTGATTGTGTTTTTCCTGTGACTTATTTGAGACAAAAATTTTTGAGTTTACTGGTATCAAAGAGTTTAAGCTGATGAGATTTAGATGTAAAGTCGGAGACAAGGATTTCTGTATGTTTCTGACAGAATATAGTTTTGCCTCCTCTGATTGGTTGGGTTTGGCTCGGGCGCCCTCTCGTGGTGATCTCGTTAGATGCGGCAAAACTTCCGCCGCATGTAGTTTCGCCCTCTGGTGGTGAATTGCAAATTTGCAAAAACTGTTTTGTTTAGTTAAAATATTGGCCGCGTATAAAATTCCGATATGTACATGAGAGATGTGGTTTTGCATAAATTAATCTAATTGGCTAATGAAAAAATGGCATGATAAAGCGCCCTCTTGCGGATGTAATTTTGTATAATCGATTAAGATTGGAAGAGTTTTGCGCCGCCTATATCGATTGATGCTTCTATCTCAATGATTTGAATGCTTAAGGTCTTTGTACATAACAGCGTCGCCCTCCGCCGGCAATCGGGAAACTGTTTGCAGTATTTTGTCTAAATTTACGCTGAAAATTTTTTTTTGGGTTATAGACTGTTCGTCTCTGGATGGGCTTGAATTAACTAAACTTTTTCATGATCTAAAAGGATTTTTTTTGGCGTATTGATCGCCCTTTATCACTCATCCAAATTCTCAATGGCCTTAACTAAGAAATGCTCATCGTATATTGAAGTAGGTGGTGCCTCAAACTTATGGATTCTCGACAAGTAACTAGCCATTCTTATTAGAGCGCCTGTAATGTGGAATATTGAGTTTTCAAATGGCAACATTCTCTCTGCCCATTTTCTGCGGTTTGAACATTCACTCTGCGGTTCGAATTTGAAATTGGTTGCCCAGCTAATAGTTTCTGAAACATTTGCATTATTAAAAGACTGCGAGCAATTCCAGCTCGTTTGTGCTATATTTTGCTCAGCTGTATGCAGAAGCCTTGGAGTGAGGGCGATTGATACCCATTTGTCCCGTTCTAACTTTAGCTCCAACGCTGCTCCCAACCCCTTGTGACTTGCGTCACATTTACCCCTGCATTGATTGGATGCATCGTAATGGTACATTTTAGGTATGTTGGCATTCGATTCTAATATCTTTTGAAAAGCGTGGTTTGCTTTTGTACTCCAGATGGACTTTTTTTGTTGTCTGCTTTTAGTGATGGTCGCAGTCGCTCAGTTTTTTTTTAGATTAGGAATAAATCTGTACATTTGATTCAAGGAACGCATAAAAGATCTGAACTGTTTCAGAAATTTTTGTGGTTGTAGAGCCATCACTGCTTCTGACTTTGAGTTTTTTGGTCTTATTCCTGTATCGTTGATCTCGAATCCCAGCCAGGTTAGG